CTAATATCCAACCTAAACCTCCCCTGGCGCAGCTTGAGGCCATTTCCTCTCGTCCTATCGCTTGTTACTAGGGAGAAGAGACCGACCTGATCAAACCACTTCTGAGTGGGACACCCTTGCACAGGTGTCATTGGATCCATAAAGTGCAAGGTAGGAGATAATCAAGAGAGTAACCAATGTAGTCATTATGATGTTGCTTAAGAGGTTTCAAGACTTCCAACTAAATTCGGTGAGGTGCTGCGCCCATCTCAGCTAAAGCAGCTTGTAGTAGTTTAGCTTCCCTTGTCGTATCAAAACAAAAGTTTGAATCAAAAACATGCTTAGGAATAATTCTTGGGGCAGGGGAGAAGGTTGCACAGAGCCTTTTTTTGTATATCTCAAGCACAAGGCAAAAGTGGTCAAGAGTTGTAGCCCAACAGTGTAGATGGGAGGAAGGGGGAGAGATGCCGTCCAGAGTGCTCTCAAGGAAGCACAGAAAGCATGACAGGGAAAGCTGCAACAAGGCAGCAGGACCAGGTGGTTTAATCCCTCCTGCCCATTCTCACTGCCTTTGGCACATCTCTGAAATTTGTTCAAGTACAAGCCGTGAGATGGGGTAGGACAGTTAGGGTTGTAAACAACTGGGACTCATCATCATACAGTTGCTCTGAGTAGCTAAACAATGGGGTAAATAAGAGACCAAACTAAGGCAAAGCAACACAGGAACCGAGGGCAGATTTGAGGTCTTGAATGTTGTGGAACAGTATACATACATACGCAATTTTTGCAGCTCTGTAGTAATATTTTCTGTTAAGGCTGCAGTGAAACACTGAAATTCAGTCTGCTGCACCGCTGAGCTGATGCAGGCCCGTTTCCATGAAGCACAACGTTAGCACACTCAGACTCTCTGAAATCAGGCACCTAAATATGGGTTGACTATTGCTCTCGTGTTCTGTATACTTAGCCAAGCTGCTTGAAGTTTCATCTGTATTTAAACACCCCGGAAGAGGATGCCAACCAGTTAGCCCCTGTAGAGTCCTCCTCCCACTGCAAAGCTGCCAGAAGCTTCTTGCAGGATTAATGCACAAGCTGAGCTCCGTGGGACAAACTGTGCTGCCAGTTGAAGACACAAACTAGAGCACACAGCCAGGAAAAAAGCTCTCACAACTGTCTGCCCTGCAGCACTGATCTAAACAGCTCAAGCTACCAATGTCTGAAACATCACTAGGGTCACAGAACATAAAAAGAGATGTTAACCGTAAGTGCCTCAGGGTAAATTCATTCCCTAGAGATAACACAGAGGATCCAGTCATGCTGCTAGTGCTGAGAGGTTTGGCAGAGAACTTACTTAAAAGAGATACGAGACTGCACCTAGGTTTCCAGGCTCTCCTGCATTATATTTCTTCTCCTGGGCATTATTGGCCAAACTACAATCCAGGAGTTATTTTTCTTTCTTTATATCTCCAGGTGCTAGGCCAAAGGGTAGAGGCACTCTGGTAGTGCTAAAGCCACAGACTTCACTGCATGACGCTTCTCCTCTGCATGTTTCACACAAGAGGGTGATGCCTTCTACAGCAGGAAACAAGCCAGAGCAAAGGGCGCGTTTCTCCTCTGCTCTGAGCAGAAGTTAACCGCTCCTTCCCCCGTATCTGTGTTATAATTAACAAATAAAGCAGTAAGTTGCTACTGATTGAAATAGCTTCCTGTTTCCACCTTGTAGTTCCCACTGAAAATTGCCACTTGAAAAATAAAGAGAAGGAAAAGAACTTTTCAGAAATTGTGTTTTTTCACATGTGACAGGATAGCTCTTCCTAAGCCTGTACTTAGCCTGAAATTGTGCTATGTTTTGGAAAGATAAACCCAGCAGCTGATTAACAAATGCTACTCTCATCCTGAATTACTCAGAAGCTCTGCAGAGATCACATTAGTACCAAATGAGATGATTCTAATCAGGGGTATAACAGCAAATACAGATTAGTTTATAATTAATGCAAAATTAAGTGGTCATCAGGGATGCTGATTTAAACCTCTTGGAAGATAATAGAACACAATTTAAAACTCTTTGTCTTTTCAGCACCTACTGAAGAAAGGTGTCCCTAACATGCATGATGAGAAAGGTCAGATCTTAGGGCACATCTGATAGTACCTTGCTGTGTTTAAAAGTTTCAAGTAATATGACTTAATAAAAACTCATTTTCTATTTCCAGGTCTCGTTCCTGCCCTGTGGACTTTTGTCGAGTCTGAGAAGAGCAGCCTGCTCCCATGCAACGGCCTGCCAAAGCTCACAGATTTCAGCACTGCTATTCTGCTTCTCCGAGCAACAGTTCGGGACAGGACAGTTTACTGGGTAAGCCCAGACTAATAGAGCTATACTTTCACTTACACAGTTGCATTTCTAGGGCAAATCCACCAGAGATGGATTTTTCATCAGTGTAATACAGAGCAGAGTTTAGTTTTCTAGAAAGGAAGGGAAGCTAGTGGCTTTCCTTCTGCACAGGAGGTGTTTCAGCTGGGGAACCATTTTCCTTGAGACGGTTTACACCAGGGTAAACCTACAAGACTGGGAATGCTGGGGACAGGAGAAGTGATACCAGGCTGAAGCCTGAGAGCTTAAGGACCCAAGAGATGAGCTGACCGAGCGTTTACTTCAAGCAGATTCAAGAAACGCAGCTCGGATTTGCTATTTACTCCATCCTTGGGGCCAAATATACCTTTCACGTACACAGCCTGGTAAAAAAGTTATCTGGTAACTTTGGACTGTATGAAACTGAGCATAAAGTATGAAGGTTCTTGCATTCTGCTTTTGTGAACTCCCAATGTTTTTAGCATAAGAATATTTTTGCACTTACCTGCAAACAGTTTTGCAGTTTGTATAGATCCCATTTGAATGATGTGTAGTGCTCTCCAAACACAATCAATCTTAACATAAGGTTACAAGAAGCTTCATAAATTTCTAACAACCCTATTGGAGATTTGCTGGGCAAAATAATTTAAAAATTAGTCTACATTACATTTCAGAGCTGGACTTTTGAGAGAGTGACTCACATGGCAATTAGGAATAGTATTTCTAAAAAAATTCAGTTGAAAGAACACAACTGTTCACATCTGCAAAATACTACTCAAAATACTACTCCAAATCTTTTTCAAATCAGCAGTTTAGTCATTGTAACCTACTGGCTGACGCACTGGGGGCATAATACGTCATTGCTCTTAGTCCAGCTCCAAATGAAATGGTCACAAAACATATCACAGTGGTTTTTGGATACAATCTCAAAGTAGACTTACATAATCATTCCAAATAAATGCACTGGAGACTGAATTACCACTGATCTCTAAACCTGGAAGGACAACAGGATTGTACTTACTCTCTGCAATGTCTCTTTCTTGCCCTAAATTAACCCAAATCTGTCTTTAAAATATTGCACCATATCCTGCGTTTTCATGCAATAAATATTGATTTAAAACTCCCAGACAAAATTTTAAAAGTTCTTGTTTTTGTAGCTGCAGGACACCAGTTAATGAAGAAAAGGAATGCAGTTCACTTGAGAACTGCAAAGATATGTTGCCAGTAATGACAAGGAGAACATGATGCAGATCAGCAGATAAATCATATTCTAGAAAATTCATACCCTTCACCAATTTCAGTAATTGCTTTTTTGCTGTACCCATATAACCTGGTGCAGAGAAAAGAAATGTCATTACTTACAAAGGTAGACATGGAATTAGGCAATGAAAATAACAGCAATAAAACAGATGAGCTGGGCACCAAATACTCCCCTGTACAGATATGTTCCTATGTTCCCACGGGTCCACATAACTTGCCAGTGTAGACATAGTCCTCTCCATAGAGGTACTTAGCTTACATGTCTTAAACTAGGTGGAAGAGGAATTGAAAATCTACTCTTCCATGGTCAAAAACTTAAAGCCTGAATGTAAACATTTTCCTTAATTGTTGAACTTTTAGTATTGGGCTTTGTTGCCATGGTATTCACCTATTCCTAGTTAATCCAGCCTGTAGTTCACCTTTTGTAGTTCACTTGAGGTGAAAGAAGCTCCCACCAAGAAAATCATAAAACCCTATGTATCACTTCTCTCACATTAAGGACCTATTCATGTAAATAAAGCCTTTTGCTGTTTTTCTGCACGAGCTAAATTCCACCTGGAGTACATTTCACCAGTAGGCTCTTGTGTTTAATTTAAGACAAAAAATTTCTGCTTTCTACTGCATTTAAATCTTGATCTCCATCTCCTGTACTTCAAATGATGCCTACAGATTGCCAAAAAAAGATCTTGTTCTCTTGTGATTGTTCTACTGCACACAAAGCAACCTGGCTGGGGGTCTTACTGTTTTATTCCTCTTTGTAGTTACAGCACATTTCATTTTCCTATCACATGGAAAAAAACAGCACGAAAATAGCTGAAATTTCAGAAAAGAAATTATTTGCATGTCAGTAATCACTTGTGTGCAATGGACCTCTGTACCCAGACAACAAATACCACTCTAGGCTCTAAGTGATCATTATCAGTGAATTTTAGAACTAGAGTAAAAGCGTGCTAAGGAGCAAAGCCATCACTAAATACTGAAATAACATAGGACTGTATGCACTGTCCATTATTTACATGATAAAAGAACGTATCAGAAGCAACACGTGGAGAGTAATCTCTCCAAGTTAACAGCTCAGCTCAAAGACAGAATATATACAAATTTTTCATTAGTTTCAAGATTATTAAAAAATGCTTCCCTCATGCTGCATTTACGAGGAACTCATAGCAAGGTATAACAATCAGCTTGCTGAGCATGCCATAACTCATTAGCCTTACTACTATGATAAACACACTTTAATTCATAGTGATTGAAAAAATTAAATCTGTATTTTATTAGGAGATTCAAAACTGAATGTCAAAGGGAAAACAATTATAAATACACTCTGGTTCTGGTTACTCCAAGCCACCTTTATGGGAACAAACTTCTATATCAGCCACATAATTGAGAGCAAAAACTTCGGGTTTTCTTAGACTCATCAGCTCAAGAACTCACAAATAATTAAGGCATGCGAATTTGAACAATTAACATAATTCCATTTTCCAGAGTCTTGTATTACTGCACAGTCTTCATTTTTTAGATTATTTGGTTCTCCAGCATTCAAGTTTCTGTAAGTTACAGCCCCTCCATTCAGATACATGAACCTGCCTTCAGTCTGTTCATCAGATATCCCCATCTAGGCCTGCTTTGAAGGTCTTACTAAGTCTTCTAAAGCTGTATTCTGAGCCTAATTCCTAGGAGAGGCAAGTGTACTTCCAGCTTTTGCACAAAGGGATTTTCCACTGTCAAAAGTATCTTCTTTTTCAGTTCAGACAAATATGTTTTTACCAATACTCTTGATGTTCTTTAAAATCAAAGCTAGAAACAAAAATGAACATAATTGTATTATACCAAAAATTGATTATTTATCCATATCACAATTGTACTTCAGAAGTAGCTAATACCAGCTATAAACAGACCATTTGTTGAAGTAGTAGGCAGAATCCAATAGAAGCCAAACCAAATAGACACCTGGAAATATCAAGCCCACAATTGAAGAAAACTGGAATTTCACAACGAACTGGATCACAAGTCTTGTTCTGATGTTTTTCATGGTATATGTAATATGGTATTACAGCTCTTGGATCAGGATCTGAAGGAATTCACGCTCAAATTGCAAGCAAGACAAAATAGTTTGCCAGGTTTCAATGCAAAAATCACAGATCAATTAAAATCATACAAAGGAACTGAGCTGCAGTTAGGAGATCTTCTATGCCTATCAGCTTTATCACATAAACCAAAGTTGAGGGACTGTAACAAAATCCAGGGTTTAAAAGCAACAGAGCAGACAGGGGAGTCATAGGGACAGCTTTAGCGAGCCTGGGAAACTGAGTATTTCTCCAGAAAATCTAAATTATCTTAGGAGCAGTAGGAATACATAGCTCACACGCTTGTCAGGCTTTCATGAAAAGCCAATGGAAAGTGAAGCTCTTGTTCATTTAGCAGATAAAACTACTAGCAGCAATTCTTTTGAAACACAGTTGCTGTCTTTAATGGGCAAGTTATTTTATCTTATTGTCTTTAACAGGTTTCTGGGATTAGTGTGAAGGGAGTCTACCACCATATAACAATGATACAAAAGCTGGACATATGCACAGTTAAATTTTCGCCTGATGTTGTGGGATGGTACCAGCACAATGCTCTTGGGGGCAGGGAACCCCCCGCTACGCTCCTGTGCCAGGTAAAACCTCCACAACGGTTACAGATGCCCTTTTCTAGGGTGCTGATACACGAGCACAGGAGGACAAAAGGGAGATGGCTGAAGAGATTACTGCTACCAGCTCTTCAGCCTCTCCGTGCTCTTCAATTTCGTGCCCCAATTTCAGGTTACTTTCAGGCCTTACACATAACTGTGGCTTCAAAGTTGTGCTTTCTCCAGGGAAGACACTCCCCCTTGGAAGGATGGCCAGCGTGGTGCGGAGCTATATGACTATTCTGCTGATGCTCGTGATGTGGTAAATTGCAGCCTATGTCATTTTGTCCCAAGTTAATTCAAGAATGATGATGGGCCTTGTGCTTTTCCTAATGCGGCATTTGTACCAGGACTAGTAGTACACTGATGAGACGTTCTTTGGAAGTTTTCACACGGTATCTCTTGAGAAATTACTTGCAGCCAGGCCCAGGCAGACAACATCCCAATCCACGTCTACTCATAGAAAATTATCTAGAACTGAGGCAGTAAGAGAAATGTAATGCAATGCTTAAAGCACAAGCACCTGGGGAACAGTAGCTGATCCCTCAGTCCATGTAACAAAGCCCCTGCCCTGTATGTTGGCAAAGTGATCCTTAAAGTTTGGCAGGTCAGTTCAGGAAGGACGTATTCAGTGAGACAGCATTTAATTAATGACGATCTCTCCTGAGCAACACAAGAGAAATTTGTAATATTTGTTCCAACCTACTGTTTTCAGTCCCTTCTCCAGCACAAGCATGTCCATCATTATACCAGGCCAAAAACAAAACTAATCAATGGTTGGACCTTACCTTTTTTATATCTATTTAGTTCAGCCTCCAAAACCTGTACTTTTGTTTCCAAAGCACTTACTTGTCTCTGCAGGTTACTACAACTAGGAGTTAAGGGTGTTATTTAGTAATTTATATTAAAATGGCCACACCACAACTGTCTCCGAGATGCTTAGCTCTCCTGTAACCTGATGCCATGTGAGAGAGCTATTTGGTTTCCAGAGCAGAAACCACAGGCCACATTGCAGATTTGTTCCGTGGGAATTTGTCCCACTGGGAGAGCCTTATCCCTGACTGGGATCAATACTTGGGTGGGCTTTAAATTCTCAGGGCTGCCAAAGTCATCTTCTATTCAGAGGGAAAAGCCCAGTTCTCAAAGGCGAAACACACATGTAAACATTTTTAAATTAATTCAAGTTGATGTAAAAAACCACATGAACAGGCAAAGAATGACAGAAAAAATGCTGTTTAGAATATGAGATAGAACATTTGTTATTTCACTCACAGACAACAATAAACTAGTGACTCATTCCAGACACGTTTTTTCCCCCCCAGTTATGTTGGTCAGCTCATCTCCTGTGGAACAGACGGTTTATCTTTCTGCTCCTCACACTTCTGGAAATCACACCTTTCCTCAAATGATGGTATAAGAATACTGGACATTAACACAAATATTTTTCTGAAAATATACTAAAAGGTTGAAAACCAGATTATAGAAACATGAGATATTTATTTCTTACTTCCATGTTCTCCTTTTTCTCCTTTCTCTCCTTGTGCTCCTAAATCTCCTTTTAGGAGACCCAGAAATCCTTCTCCTAGAAGGATTTATTTAAAATAAAATTGTTTAAATGTTTTCTAAGTTTTTCTCCCACTATGTTTTCTTAGTGCTTAGAGAGAGTACCAAACACTGACTCTTCCTCCCCCCCTCCCCCCCCCAAAAAAAGAAAAACATCTCAGGAAAATTGAATTGTTCCTGTGGAAAGCTTCATTTGCTAGGAAATGCATTACTTTGATGAAAAATTCTTCACTACGCCTACTTATGGCACTGAAAATCCAATGAAATAAATGCTGTCTCATGTTATTGCAGAGGTACACATGCTCTGAAACCAGAAAGCCAATATACTTCAGCTGTAATCCAATCACACATCACAGTATATGATCTAGAAAATGAGCTAAATCATAAGATTAAGGATACTTCTGAAGCAGTTTGTTGAAACAGATAGTGCTGGCTTTACTTATTTCCACCACGAAATTGCAGAGAGCATGCTGAGGGTATGCGGACCAGAAAATGTCTATATAGAATATCAATATACAGCACTGAAATTTTATGTCACAGTTCATATCAAATGGTGTTGATAATGATGGGAGTTTGCTTGGAGGTTGAAAAGCAATTATCTAATTCCAAGATGTGTAGTATACACATGATAACACAGACAGGATACGGTAAGAAAGTATACGATTCTATATGTACTTATTAAGTGTTTGGACAGAAACTGTGATTTGGCAACTTGAGAGAGCAGGTGACTTAGTTCTACCACATGACAGAAAGCACTTGCTGATCTGTTCGCAGCAGTGCATGAAAAAAGTTACCTAGCTGACAAATCATGCCTTGGGGGAATTTTGTTGTTGGAACTTAGTGAGTATGAAGCAATCAAGTTATGACCATCAGATTAGGTGCCAACCCTAGCAAGCATGATTTCTGGTTTTGAGAGCTGGCTGCTGGAAAGAAAAAGCAATAATCATTTAGTAGGGTATCATAGGAAACTAAGTGATTCAGAGTACAAATGGTACAATCAGATTAAAATCTCATTATGTCTCTGTTTTATGGGCTGCTGTGGAAATGTATTGTATTTTTTTGTTTATTAAAAGCCAAGTATTTAGAGTAGCCTTATAAATGCAGAGGGCATTTTCAGCTTCCTGAAACTGTGCGGAGCCTACAAAAGGTTAATGGGGCAGAAGAAAAGGAGAGAAGTAAAAAGACAAAATGAAGGAATGAAGGAGGCATGAAGCAAGACTAAAGGGATGATAAGGAGTGCCAAAAATACAATATTGCTAAATGGTCATAGCTCTGTACCTGGTTCTCCCTTTTCACCTTTGGGACCATCTCTTTCATCTCTGCCTGGTAAGCCATTGACTGCAGGAGCACTGCACTGAATTACTGGGCAGGAATAAATTTTCTCTTCAGGTTTATCTGTGTTAACTGAACTTATTACCATCAGCAGTGAAAGCCAAAGTACCAAGGCATTGAAAGACTTAAGAAGAGTCCTTGCTGAGTCCACAGATCTGTGACAAATCAAGCAGAGTAATTTCTTAAATTTCTCCATTTACATAATTTTAAAGGGTTGCCTATGAAAAAGTTGCCTACATTGCCTAGGAAATACACTCCCATCTTCAGCCAAAAGACCAAGAACAAGGGATAGTGTCTGAACCATTTCATCTAGCCTCTGATTGTATCTTTATGTATGGAAACCAGAAAAGAAACAACCAAACTTATAAGAATCTGAAAATCTCAAGGTGTAATGAAAATACCTAATATAGCAACAGTCATCAATCTCACCATTCTGCAAATCCATTTTGATGTTTTCTTCATTGTGCGTCTAAATTTAAAGCATTTCTCTCATGCCAAATGAGTCATACGGTATCCCAGTTTGGGATGAATCCTGAACTCTCCAGCTATTGTATTTCTGCTGGAACTCTTCTTTCCACAGTTATCAGGACTGCTGTATGTCTAAGCTTAAAGTGATTAAGCTGTTTCTCTTGATAGCATCTCCACTACTAGCAAACACCCATACCTTAAAGGGCAAAAAGCTTACATGCATTTAAGTAGTAATGATCTGATTGCCTCCCAATTTCTCCTGTCAGACCTTGTATATTAATAAGATACATTTCTTCCTCAGTATTACACCTCAGAGCTGAAGTCCTCTTGGATCCCAGATCTGCAGTACTTTGCTGCCCTCTCTGAGCAGAACAACAGTAACAGGCAGTAACATCATAAGGTAAAGCTCTGCATGATGTTCTGACAAGCTGCACCACAGTAATTATCCTTGATTTTAATATGAGGGTCAAATTTGAGGCACTCATGTCCCATGTATTCTGTGTTTAACAGAAAAGAAAAAAAATGAAACTACCACAAACATGTGCTGACAAACTTTTATAGTAAATAAGCCACATACTAAAGTCAATTGGCCTTATTTTCTCCCAGTTCTACCAGTTAAACTGAAAAACAAGCCTAAGGAAGCACCATTTGGTTGACAGATTGGGGTAAGGAGAGAAAATCAAATCCAGTGTGAATTTTGCTAGTCACCTCAATTATTTGTCTTTATTTTAAACTTCAGAAAAGGTTACCCACAGAGAGCATCTTCCCCTGTCATGTTTCATCTGATAAAGTACAATATGAAGTATAATCACTAGCATATTACTGTGAGAACATTATCCTTAGGATAAAAAGCAGAGTTTAAGAAGCACCACTTTTCAATATACTTCTTTGTGGTTCCTCCATTAGGCTCACGTTAAAATCTGGGCAATGGCACACACCAAAATAAAGTAAAGAAAGGTATTTAGGTAATTAGTATAACAAGGCTTGAATCCGGGTTTATATTTCTTATCCAGCTTCATGGACTCAAGCCAGTTCTTAACAGCCCTCTAAGGATTTGCTTCTGCTGAATTTTTATACTATGTTAATTATCCAGTACCAGGGAAGTTGAGATTGCTGCTGTCTCCCATGAAGGCAGCAAGCAAAGTTCAAAATAACGGAAGTTAGGAAGGACTTCATAATAAAAGAAAACTTGAAAACAAAACGTTAATCTCTCAGAGAAGTCCTCTCCCTACAGAGATTCAGCCTCACACAAACCTTTGTTGGTTTTGCCTGCCAGGAGCTAAGATCTATTTACTTCCAAAGTTTTCCAAGTTGACCACCCCAATCCTTTATTCTAGGAAAGACAAAGTGTCTGTTTACCTTTGGCAAATTGGTGGCAGGGTTTCCTAGCAATGAAGTCACTTCCCAAAGAGACTAATGATAATGTGCACCAACAATGGTTTAGATAAAAAAGCAAAATGTTCCAAATTTCTCACAAAAGTGGAATAAATCTTAGGGAGCTGAAATAGAAAAAAATAGGTTTTGCAATCCATAGTTATATTTAGAGAAAATGGAGAATCCCACATGGAGAATCACACTAAATGTGGATGTAGTGACAGTCCTCAGGTCCCAAGGCTTACACAGTTGCAGGCTTTCTCAGCAGAGAGATCAGAATTAGGCCTTGAGAGATGCCATGAAACTTACATTTAGGAGGTAGCTAGTTCTGGAGGTCCTATTTAAAGACATAGATCTCAAGTAATTCTTTTGTTCCTCCATAAAACATGCTTTAGGACACCATTCACCCAATGCAGGTAACAGCAGGGAAGGGATCCTGGAAGAGGCAGCAGGGAGTCCTTGTTCCAGACCTAGTCTTGGAAGTGACAGCTCTGAATCATCAGCCCAAAACCCGAGGATCTGACAGCACAGGACAGCCCTATTGAAGTCAAATACTAGGGAAACTGCTCCTCAAAAGCAGATATTACATTTATACAGAGAATACTCAAGGACAGAATGCTATTAAACTGACGGATTACATCCTGCTAACAGTCCTCCTCATCAGCTTGCCATGCTCCAGTAGGACAGCCTACAAAAGTCCTTTCTAGCCAGCATGTCTGCACCTGCAAGGGTTGCATGGCCTCAGTATGGTCAAATATTTATCACAGCAAAAGAGATCTTTACTTACCAACACCTTTACTTGATCAGCACACAGTGAAACTCTTATCGCACCACTGGCTTCCCTGACAGCCAGCACAACAGAATGTAGTAGACAAAAAATGGAACAGAAACCTGCTGGGTTTTTACCATAAGGATGAGCCTTCCAAGAGAAAAAAAAAAAAAAAATCCCTTACATTTCTACTAAAAGCTGTAATTTTGTGCTTTGTTTTGGGAAGAAGTTGCTTACTGGCTTATCTCTGTCTTGCACAATCCTAACGATTGCCTACCTCAATCTTACCACCCCTATTTACAGGTACTGCATATGACATTCTAGGAGTGAGCCCTTTGCACTTTGCCTGGCCTTGGACAGACATTAGCTGTGTTACAGTACAAAGGAACAACCAAAAAATTAGGCACTGAAAGTTTTGACTGTAAGGTTTTTCCCCTTTATTCAGTCAATGGGTTCTTTTTTGAATAACCTAGGAGAGGGAAGGATATTTGAGGCTTGCTTGACTGCAGTGACTTTCCTGCAATGTACTCTGAATTATCCCTGGAAAAAACTTGGCCAACTCCAACATACCCATATATGTTTAAAAATGGGATGTGGAATTTGGAAAAACAACATGGGGTGAAGGAATATATCTTTATACTTTCAAGTAAATCACTTAGTACTTGTCTTCCTGTAATGCTAGTGATGCAGTTAGTGATTAGAATAAACTTCTCAATAGAGCTTGCACTGTCCAGCTGGCTATGTGTGGACATGAAGAGTACAGTAGCAAGAACAGTATGTGGGATAATGCCACAGGTAGCTCTGCAAAATTGATAACAAAAGGTAATGCTGAGGAAGAGATGTCTTGGGAAATTCTGCTTGCAGAAAATTTCCTTACCCGGAGGAAGGTCTGTTAGACATCTGCAGCTGCAAAAACCAATTCAAACTCTACCCTTGCAGCAGTGTCAGGAGTGATTTTGTTCCCAACATCCCATTTCTGGGGCTGTTATTCTCTGATGCAGTGGCATCAGACAGAGATGTTGTAGGCTGTCAGGCTGCCTTTGTATCTTTCCTGTTCGGGAGCTAGAACAAATTTAGTCTCAGTAAAAATAAAATTAAAACACCAGTTCAGAGCAGTGCTATTTGTCAGCCATAATTTGATAAAAACATTGTAGGGCCAACATCATTAAACAGAGGTTTGGAATTAGAGATCTATTTTTTTAAATAGGAAGTTGAAATTTCCACACTGACCTTTGCTATTTTGGACAAGAGCCAAAGGTGGTATCTATATGCTGTCAACATATAGCATCCAGGGCTCATCCTGTAACCTTGTAACCCACAAAAATGTCTGGTTTGTTGAATGTCTGTTGAACTTCCCTGAAGGCTGCTTGCCTGCAAAAGCAGAAGTATGAAGCAGATAGGATTCTCCGCAATTTCCCCACCCCTAGGTTCTCGCCAGGTCAGGACACCATCTTGCTGAAACGTAGTTTGTCACACAGTAGAAATTTTATTCAGCTGTGGCAAATCCAGCATGTTTATATGCGGTATCCAAACCTACAGGACTATTGCAAATTCCTGCATCAGTGACAAATAAAAATCATACAGACAGGTGGCTTAGTATTCACAAATTATTAAAGCCTTTCTTCACTGGATTTGTAATTTCATTTTCTATCTCCTTATCTATACAGCCTTCCCTTCCTCCAGAATTATTTGGTTCTCCTGATTCCCAGTTTGAGTACTGAGTTCCTCACTATTTAGATCCTTGAATGTACCCTCTTTTCCACATGTCATTCATTTGGGGGAATGGTCTTATGTCTGGCTGCTCTTTGATACATGGTGCAGCTCTCTGCAGATTTCCTTGGAGAAGCAAGCAGCTCAGCACATGAGAACACTTGGCTTTTGAAGTTTCAAACTTGCCTTCGGAGCCATCAGTTTTGACTATTCTTCACCAGCAGCAACATCATATGGGAATAACAGAGGTGGGAACTATATCCAATTATTTTCATCACCACATAGCAGGGTGACAGCTTCTAGACACTTCCAAAAGAATATATGGCCAAAGCAGTGGATAGAAATGCACAGCTAGCTCATTGGTTCACTTTGATGTCAGAGCAACAGAGTGCTCTTATCCCCAAACCAGGAGTTTACAAAGTATTTCAAGCTTTTCATTGAGACAACTGGAGTCAGGATTAAAGACTTTTGAAGAACAAAACCCTAGGAATAACCTTGTTTCAGAACAACCTCAGACCACCATTCTTAATAGGTGCTCATACAGTGATTTTAATCAGATGTCTTAGATGTAAAATGGAAGCTGTCCTGTGCAGGATCTTTTTCTTCTGAATTAGTAGTGATTTATCCCTTGCCTGTGTAACCTACCATGCCTCCATACTTCTGCACAGTAAGAAGGATGGAGCAGAGCTGAAGCTCTTAATTTAATTCTTGTCACTTGTGAGCCTGCCACAGAGACTATGCAGATGAACAGTTGCTTCCAGTTTTGGGCTAGTACCCCGAGTCAACCCTCCTTAATGATAAAATATTTGGATGTCCTGTGTACCCTCTGTATATTAAGAGCAAAGTAAAAGTATCAACTGCTTGTGAGAGAGAAGGGAATTTATATAGCAGGACAGACTAGGAACAATGCCATAGTAATAACACAGATAAGTACAAACAGGAATAATACTGTAACTATTATTACAGATTCTCACCCTTTGTTCATGGTAGAAATTAGACAGCATATGCACCAGCATGTATAATACTCTGAGTTCATGTCTATGTATAAAAATAAAGACCTAAACAAGCAGATCCCAGCAAGTTTTCAGTGGACATTAATGAGAATCAGATATTCTTTAATTTAT